GTCTGCCTTATGCAGATGGCACAACCTTGCTTGCTGAAACTGAGGAGGACCTGAAGCACTTGATGCAGAAGGTCAACCACTACAGCCTTCAATATGTATTGAAGCTCAACATCAAGAAAACAAAGATTCTCATCACTGGGTCAATTGGCATTATCATGATGGATGGTGAAGACATTGAAATTGTAAATAGCTTTAGTTTAATTGGCTCCACAATCAATACTTTTGGCACCAGCAGCCAGGAAATTAAAAGACGTATTGTGTTGGGAAAGGCTGCTTTTAGGGACCTCTCCAAAGTACCGAAGAGCAATGATATCAGTCTGGAGACTAAGGTGCACCTGATACCAGCCATGGTCTTTACAATCTCTTGCTATGTGTCAGAGAGTTGGACAATGACATGGGATGATAGAAAGAGAATTGATGCCTTTGAACTATGGTGCTAGAGAATAGTATTGAATATACCATGGACTGCTAAGAGAACAAACAAGTTCATCCTGAGAGGGTTAAACCAGACTGCTCCTTGGAGGCAAGGATTCTGAAGCTTCGTCTTACATACTCTGGACATGTTGCATGGAGGGACCAGTCCTTGGAGAAGGATGTCATGCTTGGGAGGGTGGAGGGACAGCACAGGAGAGAAAGACCCTTGATGAGATGAATTGATTCAGTTACTGGGTTAATGGGAACAGGTGTGTCAGAGACAATAAGATTGGCACAGGATAGAGCAGTGTTTTGTTTTTTTTTTTGTTTTTTTTTAGGGTTTAGTATTTTTTATAAAGACAACTTTGCCTGGTAAAGACAATTGCCTTGCTTGATAAAGACAACCACCAAAGACAACTACCCAACAGGACCTATCAAAAATCATCTTACAGTATACAGTCTGCAAAAGATACTACAGTGTGCACGCCTGTATATTCTAATTCATCAAGTGTAGGCCCAGGGATCTGTGCTTTTCACAAGTGTTTGTTGAGAATCTCATGATCATGCAAGCTTGGGAAACACTGGATAGGATATTAGTGCAGTACTTTTCACATGAAACTATGAGTGTGGAGAATGATACGTTGCAGATATTTGGGGACACTCCCTCCGGATTCTTGAATAAGGAGCCTGTGGAGTGTCATACAGAGCAACACTTGTTACCACGGACACAGTGCATGCCTTTGGAATTCCAGTGCATATGGCCTGAAGGCCACATGTTGAAGGGGAAAACAAAGGAAAATATCTAAAACTTCCATGGCAAATGGGGAGACTATAGTAGACCATTGAGAGAGTCAGACTAAATTGTTGGTGAAGCTGTGTTGCAATCCCAAAGGCACG